AAGCATACCCACAGGGAGATAAGAAAGGCAGGAGTCGACTCAAACCAGCCAGAGCCGCACATGAAACGGGATCCAGCATTTGAAGCATACCCACAGGGAGAGAAGAAAGGCAGGAGTCGACTCAAACCAGCCAGAGCCGCACATGAAACGGGATCCAGCATTTGAAGCATACCCACAGGGAGATAAGAAAGGCAGGAGTCGACTCAAACCAGCCAGAGCCGCACATGAAACGGGATCCAGCATTTGAAGCATACCCACAGGGAGAGAAGAAAGGCAGGAGTCGACTCAAACCAGCATGAGCCACACATGAAACGGGATCCAGCATTTGAAGCATACCCACAGGGAGAGAAGAAAGGCAGGAGTCGACTCAAACCAGCCAGAGCCGCACATGAAACGGGATCCAGCATTTGAAGCATACCCACAGGGAGATAAGAAAGGCAGGAGTCGACTCAAACCAGCCAGAGCCGCACATGAAACGGGATCCAGCATTTGAAGCATACCCACAGGGAGAGAAGAAAGGCAGGAGTCGACTCAAACCAGCCAGAGCCGCACATGAAACGGGATCCAGAATTTGAAGCATACCCACAGGGAGAGAAGAAAGGCAGGAGTCGACTCAAACCAGCCAGAGCCGCACATGAAACGGGATCCAGCATTTGAAGCATACCCACAGGGAGAGAAGAAAGGCAGGAGTCGACTCAAACCAGCCAGTGCCGCACATGAAACGGGATCCAGCATTTGAAGCATACCCACAGGGAGAGAAGAAAGGCAGGAGTCGACTCAAACCATCCAGAGCCGCACATGAAACGGGATCCAGCATTTGAAGCATACCCACAGGGAGAGAAGAAAGGCAGGAGTCGACTCAAACCAGCCAGAGCCGCACATGAAACGGGATCCAGCATTTGAAGCATACCCACAGGGAGAGAAGAAAGGCAGGAGTCGACTCAAACCAGCCAGAGCCGCACATGAAACGGGATCCAGAATTTGAAGCATACCCACAGGGAGAGAAGAAAGGCAGGAGTCGACTCAAACCAGCCAGAGCCGCACATGAAACGGGATCCAGCATTTGAAGCATACCCACAGGGAGAGAAGAAAGGCAGGAGTCGACTCAAACCAGCCAGAGCCGCACATGAAACGGGATCCAGCATTTGAAGCATATCCACAGGGAGAGAAGAAAGGCAGGAGTCGACTCAAACCAGCCAGAGCCGCACATGAAACGGGATCCAGCATTTGAAGCATACCCACAGGGAGAGAAGAAAGGCAGGAGTCGACTCAAACCAGCCAGAGCCGCACATGAAACGGGATCCAGCATTTGAAGCATACCCACAGGGAGAGAAGAAAGGCAGGAGTCGACTCAAACCAGCCAGAGCCGCACATGAAACGGGATCCAGCATTTGAAGCATACCCACAGGGAGAGAAGAAAGGCAGGAGTCGACTCAAACCAGCCAGAGCCGCACATGAAACGGGATCCAGCATTTGAAGCATACCCACAGGGAGAGAAGAAAGGCAGGAGTCGACTCAAACCAGCCAGAGCCGCACATGAAACGGGATCCAGCATTTGAAGCATACCCACAGGGAGAGAAGATAGGCAGGAGTCGACTCAAACCAGCCAGAGCCGCACATGAAACGGGATCCAGCATTTGAAGCATACCCACAGGGAGAGAAGAAAGGCAGGAGTCGACTCAAACCAGCCAGAGCCACACATGAAACGGGATCCAGCATTTGAAGCATACCCACAGGGAGAGAAGAAAGGCAGGAGTCGACTCAAACCAGCCAGAGCCGCACATGAAACGGGATCCAGCATTTGAAGCATACCCACAGGGAGAGAAGAAAGGCAGGAGTCGACTCAAACCAGCCAGAGCCGCACATGAAACGGGATCCAGCATTTGAAGCATACCCACAGGGAGAGAAGAAAGGCAGGAGTCGACTCAAACCAGCCAGAGCCGCACATGAAACGGGATCCAGAATTTGAAGCATACCCACAGGGAGAGAAGAAAGGCAGGAGTCGACTCAAACCATCCAGAGCCGCACATGAAACGGGATCCAGCATTTGAAGCATACCCACAGGGAGAGAAGAAAGGCAGGAGTCGACTCAAACCAGCCAGAGCCGCACATGAAACGGGATCCAGCATTTGAAGCATACCCACAGGGAGAGAAGAAAGGCAGGAGTCGACTCAAACCAGCCAGAGCCGCACATGAAACGGGATCCAGCATTTGAAGCATATCCACAGGGAGAGAAGAAAGGCAGGAGTCGACTCAAACCAGCCAGAGCCGCACATGAAACGGGATCCAGCATTTGAAGCATACCCACAGGGAGAGAAGAAAGGCAGGAGTCGACTCAAACCAGCCAGAGCCGCACATGAAACGGGATCCAGCATTTGAAGCATACCCACAGGGAGAGAAGAAAGGCAGGAGTCGACTCAAACCAGCCAGAGCCGCACATGAAACGGGATCCAGCATTTGAAGCATACCCACAGGGAGAGAAGAAAGGCAGGAGTCGACTCAAACCAGCCAGAGCCGCACATGAAACGGGATCCAGCATTTGAAGCATACCCACAGGGAGATAAGAAAGGCAGGAGTCGACTCAAACCAGCCAGAGCCGCACATGAAACGGGATCCAGCATTTGAAGCATACCCACAGGGAGATAAGAAAGGCAGGAGTCGACTCAAACCAGCCAGAGCCGCACATGAAACGGGATCCAGCATTTGAAGCATACCCACAGGGAGAGAAGAAAGGCAGGAGTCGACTCAAACCAGCCAGAGCCGCACATGAAACGGGATCCAGCATTTGAAGCATACCCACAGGGAGAGAAGAAAGGCAGGAGTCGACTCAAACCAGCCAGAGCCGCACATGAAACGGGATCCAGAATTTGAAGCATACCCACAGGGAGAGAAGAAAGGCAGGAGTCGACTCAAACCAGCCAGAGCCGCACATGAAACGGGATCCAGCATTTGAAGCATACCCACAGGGAGAGAAGAAAGGCAGGAGTCGACTCAAACCAGCCAGAGACGCACATGAAACGGGATCCAGCATTTGAAGCATACCCACAGGGAGAGAAGAAAGGCAGGAGTCGACTCAAACCAGCCAGAGCCGCACATGAAACGGGATCCAGCATTTGAAGCATACCCACAGGGAGAGAAGAAAGGCAGGAGTCGACTCAAACCAGCCAGAGCCGCACATGAAACGGGATCCAGCATTTGAAGCATACCCACAGGGAGAGAAGAAAGGCAGGAGTCGACTCAAACCAGCCAGAGCCGCACATGAAACGGGATCCAGCATTTGAAGCATACCCACAGGGAGAGAAGAAAGGCAGGAGTCGACTCAAACCAGCCAGAGCCACACATGAATCGGGATCCAGCATTTGAAGCATACCCACAGGGAGAGAAGAAAGGCAGGAGTCGACTCAAACCAGCCAGAGCCACACATGAAACGGGATCCAGCATTTGAAGCATACCCACAGGGAGAGAAGAAAGGCAGGAGTCGACTCAAACCAGCCTGAGCCACACATGAATCGGGATCCAGCATTTAAAGCATACCCACAGGGAGAGAAGAAAGGCAGGAGTCGACTCAAACCAGCCAGAGCCACACATGAAACGGGATCCAGCATTTGAAGCATACCCACAGGGAGAGAAGAAAGGCAGGAGTCGACTCAAACCAGCCAGAGCCACACATGAAACGGGATCCAGCATTTGAAGCATACCCACAGGGAGAGAAGAAAGGCAGGAGTCGACTCAAACCAGCCAGAGCCACACATGAAACGGGATCCAGCATTTGAAGCATACCCACAGGGAGAGAAGAAAGGCAGGAGTCGACTCAAACCAGCCAGAGCCACACATGAAACGGGATCCAGCATTTGAAGCATACCCACAGGGAGAGAAGAAAGGCAGGAGTCGACTCAAACCAGCCAGAGCCACACATGAATCGGGATCCAGCATTTGAAGCATACCCACAGGGAGAGAAGAAAGGCAGGAGTCGACTCAAACCAGCCAGAGCCGCACATGAAACGGGATCCAGCATTTGAAGCATACCCACAGGGAGAGAAGAAAGGCAGGAGTCGACTCAAACCAGCCAGAGCCGCACATGAAACGGGATCCAGCATTTGAAGCATACCCACAGGGAGAGAAGAAAGGCAGGAGTCGACTCAAACCAGCCAGAGCCGCACATCAAACGGGATCCAGCATTTGAAGCATACCCACAGGGAGAGAAGAAAGGCAGGAGTCGACTCAAACCAGCCAGAGCCACACACAAAACAGATTCCAGCATCTGAAGCATGCATACCCGCTGGGAGAGAAGGAAGGCAGGGGGCCAACGAGTGGCAAACGTGGTGTTTGAGAGGGCACCAGTGGCACATAAACAAAGGAGTCAATTTTTTAGGCGCCTCAAAAGCAAATGTGCTGATTGAGAACGCACCAGTGGCTCATAAACAGAAGAGTAAATTAAGACGCCAAATCTATCCACAGGTCATATGCAGAAATTCGTGATGGGTTACCCAGTAATAGACCTAGCAGGCACCAAGCTTTACTTGTTAAACGAAGAAAGTGGTGATTTTGAAAGTTGAGATACAAAAAGGTTGCCTCCTGAAAAGACCTTTACATAAAATTCTAATTTGCCGTGTTCTTGTCTACTTCTCTAAGTCCTTTGAGGCGCCTAAATAAATGAGCTTGTCTGCTTTTGGAAGACTGGAAGTCCAAATCCAAATTGGTTGTGCCTGCTTGCGCGTTGAGAGTCCTGAGAGGCGTCCAGCCTGGAGAGAATCGAATCTTTTACATCATATTTGATTTGGCGCGTTCTTGTCTGCTTCTGGAAGAAAGGGTCAAGGAAGGTGGTGCCGGCCTGCACGTTGAGTCGAGAACCAGTGGCACTGATACGCATCCAGGTTGGAGAGAGCGAAGCTGCGTGGGGAGATGTTGCGACATAATTCCAGTGAGCTGCGATGCTTAGGAGCTGGTTTAAGCAAGTAGGAAAAACGTGTCAAGCTAAATGACTAGCAAAAAACCGAGAATCAGATCGCTGGAACCTTCTCGTAGTGCTGATAGGCGACCAGGCTGGAGAAAGTGAAGGCACGTGGAGGGATGCCCACCAGATGGGAGATGAGGAAATGCCATGCCTCGTGCTGTGGGGTGGGCGGGGGGTGCGAGGTGGGATAAGAGAGTGAAGGAGGTGGGAGATGGGATAGAGAGAACGAGTTGGGAGGTGGGATAGAGAGAAGGAGGTTGGAGGCGGGATAGTTGGAACGTGAGGGAGTGAAGGCGCGTGGGGGGGTGCCCATCAGGTAGGAGATGAGGAAATGCCCTGCCTCGTGCTGTGGGGTGGGAGGGGGGTGCAAGGAGGGATAAGAGAGTGAAGGAGGTGGGAGGTGGGAAGGTGATAGAGTAAAGCTGCGTGGAGGGATGAACATCAGATAGGAGATGAGGAAATGCCCTGCCTCATGCTGTGGGGTGGGAGGGGGGTGCGAGGTGGGATAAGAGAGTGAAGGAGGTGGGAGATGGGATAGAGAGAACGAGTTGGGAGGTGGGATAGAGAGAAGGAGGTGGGAGGCGGGATAGTTGGAACGTGAGGGAGTGAAGGCGCGTGAGGGGGTGCCCATCAGGTAGGAGATGAGGAAATGCCCTGCCTCGTGCTGTGGGGTGGGATGGGGTGCGAGGTGGGATGAGAGAGTGAAGGAGGTGGGAGGTGGGAAGGTGAGAGATTGAAGCTGCGTGGGGTAGGGATGAGCAAAGGGCGAACACGAACATGTTCGTGTTCGCCCCTTCTCGAACACGTCCTTTTGCCGAACCGAACAGTGTTCGGTTCGGCGAACAGTTTAGCCAAAAACAGGTGTTCGCTGTTCGCCTGTGGAGGCATGTTCGGGCGAACCTCGAACACGTTCGTGTTCGACACGGGGCGTTTTGCAGCAGCGCCACGAACACGAACGTGTTCGGGCGAACCTCGAACACGTTCGGGCGAACGATTTAAGCTGAAAAACAAAACCTGTTCGAGGCGAACCGAACAGGTGTTCGCCACTTTGCTCAAGCCTAGCGTGGGGGAATGCCTATCAGATAGGAGATGAGGAAATGCCCTGCCTCTTGCTGTGGGGTGCGGCAGGTGGGAGAGGGGAGGGATTTGAAACAGAAGAGGGTAAAAGGTGAGAAGAAGGCCCGTCTCGTGCTGTGGGGGTACTCTTGAGAATTCTCAAAAGTAACACCAAAATGGGTGGGAGCGGGGAGGGATTTGAAACAGAAGAGGGTAAAAGGTGAGAAGAAGGCCCGTCTCGTGCTGTGGGGTGGGTCGGACGGCGGGTGGGTTTTTGAGACGTCTCAAAAATGTACCTTTTTCACAAGATTTGAAACAAAAGAGGATAAAAGGTAAGAAAAAGCCCCGTCTCGTGCAGTGGGGTGGGATGGGGGGTGGGAGGTGCGACGGTCGGGACAGGACAAAAAGAAAGACCGAGATGATGAGGAAACGCCCTTAGAGGCGCCTCAAAAGACGGCCATGACAAGACAAAAAGAAATACCAAGATAATGAGGAAACTCCCTGCCTCGATCTGCCGGACCGGATGGCGGTGAGAGGGGAGAGGGAAGAGGGGAGAGAGGAGGGGGAAGAGGAGAGAAGGTAGAGAGGAGGGGGAAGAGGGGAGAGGGGAGATGGAAGAGGGGAGAGGGGAGTTGGAAGAGGGGAGAGGGGAGAGGGGAGAGGATGGAAACGAGAGGAGAGACAAGAGAACACACAAGGAAATCGCATATGCGTGGAAATAGGAGAAATGTTGTAGAAGTGAGAGCGGGGCAAGAGTGGCTGGAACAGCATGTTAACCAATAAGCCTAATGGGGCCTTGCTACGCAGGAAACCAGCATGCCAATGCGCTGCTCACGTAAACTCGAAAAACAGGGCACATGTGTCGAGAGTGGGATTTGAACCCACGCCCTTTCGGACTGGAACCTTAATCCAGCGCCTTGACCAACTCGGCCATCTCGACACGCAGAATCCTTCCACACCACGGTATCGTTTCCTCGTGCACTCTCCACCCCTCTTCACCCCTCTCCTCTGAAATCTGCTGCACCAATGCACCACCTAAGTGTTTCCTCAACACCCTTATCACTCATCACCATCACACTCACCAGAGCAACTTGTCTTCTCTGCGATAGGTGGGTTTCAACGAATTTCCCAAGGTATCCTCCAATAGGGCCTCGCCACCTCCACCAGTTGACACCTGAATGGACAGTTAGGTTTACATCACAGTCGGGTGGGATCGAGTTGAGAGGGAGAAACAACCAGTAAAAAGTTAACACATGGTTTAGGGTTTAGTGGTGGAGAGAAGTAGTGCAGAGAATTAGTGAAACCCGATGTGAGTTGGGGCATGCTCACATGGGGCTGTGGAGCAGAGGGAAGACTCCACGTGACTGAGTTGACTTTAGAGTCGACCCAAAAGTCAACTCGAGTGAGGTGGGGCATGCTCGCATGGGGCTATGGAGCAGAGGGAAGACTCCACGTGGCTGCAGCATGGTGAGGGAGAGGACGAGTGGTGAAGGGAGTGGATGAGAGAGGATGGGAATGGGAGACGGTAGACGGATGTTCAGCAACGGTAGATGGATGTTCAGCAATAAAGAAGATCAGCAATGGGGCAGAGCTGCAGTGGTGGAGGGTAGATCTGCAGGGGTGGAGGGAAAATCTGCAGGGGTGGAGGGCAAAGCTGCAGTGGTGGAGGGCGGAGCTGCAGTGGTGGAGGGCGGAGCTGCAGTGGTGGAGGGCAGAGCTGCAGTGGTGGAGGGCAAAGCTGCAGAGGAATGAAAGTGGAGGGGCAGACCAAGAGTGGAGGACCATGCAATGGATAAAAAGCAAAGCTGGTTCCAGGAATATGATAAGCACGGTGAGCTCAAACCGATTGAACTCAAACTCTATACGAATGAAAGTGGAGGGGCAGACCAAGAGTGGAGGACAATGCAACGGTAAAAAGCAAAGCTGGTTCCAGGAATATGATAAGCACGGTGAGCTCAAACCGATTGAACTCAAACTCTATACGAATGAAAGTGGAGGGGCAGACCAAGAGTGGAGGACAATGCAACGGTAAAAAGCAAAGCTGGTTCCAGGAATATGATAAGCACGGTGAGCTCAAACCGATTGAACTCAAACTCTATACGAATGAAAGTGGAGGGGCAGACCAAGAGTGGAGGACAATGCAACGGTAAAAAGCAAAGCTGGTTCCAGGAATATGATAAGCACGGTGAGCTCAAACCGATCAGAAGGTAGATACGCGAGGGGAAAAGGAAGAAGGCAAATTGCTAAGAAAGTTGAGAAGGGGTATATTTGGATGAGGGCAAGGCTGACTATGAGGAGAACGACTGATGGGCAATGGGAACTATAGATACGGTATTGCTGAGCCTGAGAGCCTCAGGTACTTGTTGCAGTGATAAATTGAATCAAGGAGAATGGAAAAAGTTGTGGGCAACTATGTCAGGAGTGGGATTTGAACCCACGCCCTTTCGGACCAGTACCTGAAACTGGCGCCTTAGACCAACTCGGCCATCCTGACACATTTACTATTATTACGCATTCCACTTTGGCAAATATTCTAAAACGCTCATGGAATGCTGCTCTTCTCCTATTTTGTGCAGGAAAGGAGCTCAGAGAGTAGGAGGAAAGGAAATCTTACAAACTCCCCACACTCACGTAATTGTTGCTGGTGGTAATCACGCGTTGTTGCCGTGAAAGGCCAGCTCAGTGGATCCAGACTCGAAGAAAGCCCAGATGAGGCTGTTGGTGCTGCTGAAACTTACCAGTATTTCCCCCCTTTTCTCAGTCACTCCCTCACCCACTCCCTCACTCACTCCCTCATTCACTCACGCGTTGTTGCCATGGAAGGCCAGCTCAGTTGACCCAGACTCAGAGAAAGCCCAGATAATGCTGCTGCTGCCACTCAAACTAACTGGTACCGCCCATCCGTCCCCTTTTGATCGAGAAAACCTGCAGGCAGGAGAGCGTGGAGGAAGGGAGGGGGGTTGAGGAGGAATGAGGTTGTGAGGAAAGGGAGGGAGACATGCCAGATGATGCTGTTGCTGCCAGTGAAGCTGATTGGTACCGCCCTTCAGTCCCCTTCTGATCGAGAAAACCTGCAGGCAGGAGAGCATGGTTGACAAGGGGAGAGGAAAATTTCATATGAGACTGATGCTGCCACTGAAACTCACTCGTACCGCCCCTCCGCCCGCTCAGCCTCGAAATAACCTGTGGGCAGGAGCAGGAGGAGCAGCAGTAGGAGCAGAAGGATCAGCAGTAGGAGCAGAAGGATCAGCAGTAGGAGCAGAAGGATCAGCAGTAGGAGCAGAAGGATTAGCAGGAGCAGGGAAAGTGAGTAGAAGCAGCAGCTGAAACACACTATTTCAATGATACAGGCAAATTCAGAGACATGCAGAGCTTTTGAGTCGACTCAAAAGCAGAGTAGACTCAAAAGCAGCAGCAGAAATACCATGTCAATGATACAGGCAAATTCAGAGACATGCAGAGTCTACTGACGCAGCTGTGCCGTTTCCATAGCCAGGTAAATTCCTCTATTGTATTATGATGGATAGAAATCATCCCTTGGTATACAGACGATGTGAATGCATGGGGCAGGAAGAGTGAAGAGCGATAGCTCAAACCCTATATTTCAACCACTTTTTCGGGAAATATACGCTGTAATGAAAGTGCCGGGCAGACCAAGGGTGGAGGAAAACACAATGAATGAAAAGCAAAATTGGTTCCAGAAATAACATCAGCACGTTTAACGCAAGCAGAGGGAAAAGTCGAGGCACGAGAGGGAAAGGAAGATAGGCAGATTGCTATTTCTAAGAAAGTTGAGAAAGGGTATATCTAGAATTCTGGACTAAGGAAAGGCTGACTATGAGGAGCAAGACTCAAGGGCAGTGGGACAGCGTGCAACCGCAGGAGGTGGATGTGGATAGAGGGTGGGAAGGAGCGATGCCACAAGAGATATCTCGCGAGATGATAAATCGGAACCCGGAGGCAGGGAAAATGGGCGGAAAGAAACTGGAAGCGGAGGAAAAAGAGGTGCGAACTTGACTCAGGGGGCGAGAGCAGGCAGGAGGCAAGAGGATGAACTGCAAAGGGATGAGGGAGGCATCCACGACAGGCACATGCATGCCAGCTGTGCTTGCCTCTCACTCCTATCCGCTTTTGAGTCGACTCAAAAGGAGGCAAGAGGATAAACTACGAAGAGGATAAACTACGAAGGGTATGAGGGAGGCATCACGTCACCCACATGCATGCCAGCTGTGCTTTCCTCCCACTCCTATCCGTCTATTCACATCACCATTCGCCTCTCACATCTCACATCTCTCCGTCCCTGTCACCGATTCCCGCCGTGAGGCGTCGCTGTCGCACCACCTAACCCGTCATCTCGTATGCGACGAGCAGCGCTGCGTCGCATGCCAGGCTGCACTTCACCCGTAGTCACGTGGGCAACGCATGCATTGAGTCGATCCCAAACGCGATTCGAAGGGTTGGGGCGCATTTGGGGCCCATCGACTCCTCTCTTGTCGCTAGTACTCTAGGTCACACTCAGCTCGTCTCATCCCGTCGATTCACAACGTCTCGTGCATGCCGAATCTTGCACTGCGAACTGAAATCAATATCGAATTCTTGGATCTGAACGGGGGGCCTCGCGTTATAGCCGAGGCGCGTTTGTGCTAAGAGCGGAAGGGCGACAGTAATGTAATTCGGATCTGGACGCTCTTGATGCACTGACACGTGGCGACACTCTCGGTCGAATGTGGACGGTCACACCTGGACTTGCTAGCGCGGATATAGCACAGAACGTAGCAAGAATGTTCAGCTTTCGTTATGAAGCAGCAAAAAGCGGGGATGGTTCTGACAAAGTTATAGCAAGGGGTGTTTCGAATCTCACTCAACAGTCCCGTTGAATGGTTGCATGTTGACTTCTAGCTGTTACCATTCCGCTGTTGGTGGTGTTGTTTGCTCCCCCCCCCTGACCATTGTTTGTTGTGTTTTCTTGACTTTGAATGGTGATCCGTGTGTCTTGCATACGCACAACACCACCAATCTTCCACCGTATCCGCGTGTCTTGCATACGCATAACACCACCAGTCATCCACCGTATTACTTGCATTCCCTTAACACATTCTCATTTTCATTCTGTTCCTTTTCGTCCAATATAATGTCTGTCACTTTATATCTGCTGCTGTGTCCCCATCATCCATGTTTCTCGCCCGTATCGCCCTATTCCTTCCACTCCAGCTGAGGTACTAAAGTTACTTGAGCGCAAATAATTTTATTTTAAATTTTCAAGGAGGGGAGGCGAGAGATGGAAGAGGTTAGTGAGGCAATAGAGGTGGTGAATGCAGTGAAGACAACAAGGGCAGAACTGGTGTCTACTAAGTGGAACTGGAATCGATTTATGAAGATATGGCCTCGCATGAAGAAGAGGTTGCAACGACTACACAAGATCTGGGATCATCTAAAGGGGTGCTGGAAGTAATCAAAGAAGGACTTCTGAAATAAATGTGTGGAAGTGGAATATTGTAGCTGTAACTGCTGGTCACGAATTGGCACGGTTCGTCAGTGGTGGTTGCAGGTTTGTTGGCTGTTTGTATATTCAGGTTAGTGACCAGAAACCAACCAATATTAAATTTCAATAAGAACGTTGCGATCTATGCACAACCAATATATGGTATGGTATGAGTTCTAAAATATTTTTCTCCATCAGGCGTGCTGTTGGAGGACCCAAACTTATT